ACCTAATCATACAGGTAATTATTAGAATAAATATATATGTCTATGACAAGAACTTATCACCAAAGGTTCATCACTTCTACTTTTTGTATATTTTGTAGTTTAGCGCCATTTTCTAGTAATAGAAGAATTTAATTTTTCTTACTATCCCTCATACCATTTTTCTTTGTTTTTGTGATTTCTTATTGAGGACCCTTCTCAAGTCAAGTAGTAGGAGGATTTAATCACCTCTTCATCTTCTTGTAATCTTTCTTGTTTCAATTGATTTTAATATATAATAATATTTAAAAATAGATTATATATATATATATAAGAAAAATCCATACTATTGGATACCATGATCTTCAGCACTACCATCTATCTATTTCTTTATTCATCTATGCTCTCTTGTTTCCATGTTTCGCCAATAAGAAGGTTTTTTTAATTTTTCTTTTCTTTTCCTCAAGTTGTTTTATATAATAGATACCTTCATTAAAACTTACATTTTTAATATATTTATAAAAAAAAAAAAATAAAAAAAAAAAATTATTGTAAATGAATGCCATATTTGTCCAAAGATAAAACTAAATAGAAATCCTCCACAAATTTTAAGTAGAAATCACACAATTTATCATGTCAATTTCTCAGTCAAAGCACCTTTTTAGTACTAAACCAAGCCAGACAAATAAATATAATTATAGAATACCACAAAGTAAGTTGATTATTTAGAATAACAACAAAATTGGCACAGAGGATGTTGAATTGATTTATTTCTTACTCACAAAAGTATACAATTTAATTATTTTCCTATGATCTTCAATCTTATTGTGTAAAAAATTACAGTAGCTACAAATGAAACTCTACATAGATTCTTACCATAGGACGGAACTTTTTGATGTACAGAAAAATGTCAATATTAGTAATAGTAAAATCGCTTCTTCTTTTGGAGAAAAAAGAGATAAACAAAAAAAAAAAACAAAAACAAAAACAAACAAACAAACCGTAAGAATGATTCCACTACACTATGATGCAAATAACTGAGTTGAAAAGTAGGAATATTACGTTTTTTTCAGTTGTGAAGATGATTTAAACTTAACAATTTAAGAGTGATTAGCACAAATCCACTCAAAATTTTGGTCAAGGGGAAAATAATCGCCAAATTAATTAAATAATCTCCCCATCCGTACATTCACTCAAACCTTCATCTACTTTATGTTTTCGGAAAAAAGTAAAAGGTTGCCATTAGTGACTTTCGAAGAGGACGAGAGACAATGCTGAGTTGGCATCAGGGGGGGGGGGCAAGAAACGCACTTACTGCAGGGAGCTTCTGTGGGTGCGAGATGGCTGCCACGTGGAGAAAGAGCTATCCCCGTCAGCATGTGGGGGTGAGGTGGCACTGCCATGTGGGATTGAGGTCATTAGTACGTTTTATTCCCCATTCTGCCAAGATGGGGGCTCGATGGGGGCTTGGAAATGTGGTACTGGCTCCGTACTTGAACTTTACTTTTTCCCATTTTCCTTGTGCACACTGCATTCATCCACATCGATGAAGGATAGTTTACAAAAATATAAATCCGTCAATAGCAATGAGGGCATGAATATTTTCATCCACGTTGTTCTGTGGGTAGGGTGGAGCAAAAAGGCACCAACGAACTTTAACCAAACAAGAGATCGAATGGCCCCACGAGATGATGGAATGGGCGGACAGCGCACGGCAGCCGTGCGATTGGACGCCCACGGCAATGTTTCAATGAGAGGCGCTATGGCTAAGCTTTAGCTTTAGCTTTCCAGGACCCCGATTAGGGAGCTTCTTGCTACACCTCCTCTATCACTCACGTCGCAACACTTGTTTTTTTTACATCATCGAAGGTCTCTCTCGCCATCGTGACTGCAAGTACTGCTGCAAGTGCTGCGATCAAAAGTCGTTCATGAACTGAGGGAGCCATTTTGTTCTATATTTTCCGAAATCAAGGCTCTGCCGGAATACCGAAAGTCTGGTCGAAATGTCCACAAACGACTGAATATCCTAGCGATTGGGAGTGTGATTGTAAACCGCTTTGTTTTGATTATTATCAAAGTTGGATTCAAGCTCGGTAGTACTATTGGATTTCAGTGGCGGAAACGGGTTGTTGTGTGTGTTGCGAAGGACTTTGTGCAGTTGAAGTGGAATTATCGTTATACGATTGGTATGCGTCTGTACTCTAAGCGGTTGTCAACTCGCCAGTCATCCAAGACACCTCCAACACAGGGACAGAAGGTACCGAGACATTTTTGTTTGAATTGAAATTTTCCGTCGATGGCGCCAAGATGATTCTATTACAGCTTGGTTGAGCCATTGCTTAAGCTGGTCAATGCAGATTGGAGTCATTTTAGTTTGAGTAGATGTTTCACTTGAAGTGCGTGATATTGTCCAAGACTATTGAGTTTTGGAGTCTGTATGCATTGACTTGGTGGATTGAAGCATCGAAGTTCTACACTGATTATGATCAAGTTGCCCAGCAGGACGTTCCATCATACTTAGCCTTACTAATGCACTAGTATGCCATGCTTGTTAGTGCTTCAAATGAAGCAGAACTCTCTAACACAAAGCCCTGTTAATCGCCTGTTCTCGGTTTAGATGGCAGTTGTGTAGAATCAGTGTAAGAAATTTCCTCATATTTGGACGATGTGCTCGCCACCTGTTCCTCCTACAATACTCCCACAAAACCTCATTTGAGGCTGCAAGGTTGCAAACGTTTACCAAGGTTGACATGACGTTTGTAGTGGCGGTCAGTTTCAATGTTGTTACATATAATCTCTATTATGTTCAGTCGCGTGGTCAGTAAAACTCAATACAGAGGACTACTCTTGGCGTGAGAAGTTTCAAGATCTTTCTAACTTGGGACATTCAGCTGATTTCTTTGTTATCTGATGGTGCCTATCCAGTATTGATGCTCTGATGTAGGGAGGAAACAGGCTACTGTGTGGTTTAGCAGCCCAGCGTAACAAGTGGATTGAATACTGTACGAAAGACATCTCAGGAACTACAGAGGTACTCGCAGAATTGAGGAGAGAGAACGGAACAAGTACTTGGTTTATTTATAACGCCTTTTAGAATGAGTTGCAATGGTTGTCGTATGCTGCGCAAAGGGTGCAGCGGCTATTGTATTCTACGTTCTTGCCTGCAATGGATGGAGAGCTCGAAAGTTCATGGCTATGCCACTGTGTTATTGGCCAAGTTTTTTGGCCGCGCAGGGCTTATGGGGTTTATCAGCGCAGTGACAGAAGATCAACGTCCTGGTATGCACTATTTTTCGTACTTGCAAATTTAAAATTACAGCTTTTTTTGAAGGAGCTGATGCAACTAGTGGTTTGTGATGTAACATTGCCTTTTTCCACGCGATGGAGTGGATACACTCGTATATTTTCTTGTACAGTAAATTTCTACTAGTTTGATTGGGCTTGCGTGTAGCAGAATTGCATCTGAATATCTTGTTCTGCTATGTGCCGATAAATGCTGAATGACTGATCGGATTCAATTTTTTTGGTGTAGACAAGGTAAATCTAAAGCAATGTGTTTTGTGTTTTGTTGACGTGTAGCGATGTTCCAATCTCTACTATAAGAGGCCTGTAGACGAACGGTGAATCCTGTATTTGGTGCAGTGGGTCTCCTTCAGAGTGGAAATTGGCAAATCTGTGAGGCCGCCGTGGACACTGTTTTAAAAGACGATTCTCGTCGTCTAATGTCCCCATCATCTTCCCTGCCTTCAAACTTGAGCGACTCATTACTATATTCTCGAGCGTTTGCTATGCCTGAGAAACTCTCCCTTTCTTTAGCTGGCAGAGTCCATGATCCCACTACAGTGATGTTTCCTTTATCTTTGAATGTATCGGCAGATACTACTCTCAATCCATGTACTATAAACCTTGGGCATTGCATTGCCCGAGCCCGAAGGTCAGGAGCCCCTCGAACAAACAAATAATTATCGTCCTGGCAAGGCGAGCAACAACGATTCGCACCTGGGAGCAACTTCTGTAAAAAACGTGGAATCATGTTCCACAGGGCAAAAGGACGGACGATGTCAAAGCCGGATCCAGTTACATACCGAGTGTCGAAGGGATGGTCTTGGGCAGGAGCAACATGAGTTGAATCTAACTGGCGTGCCATTCCAATGGGTTTGTGCGGCTCCTTGGAGTGTCAGGGCCTGAGTTGAACCAAGATCAGTTGTACCTCTGGGCTCTGGTGAAAGACAGTCCGGTGATTTCTCGGTGTTAGCTCATGGAATCGAGCAGCTTGGGCTAGATTTGACCTTGAAAGTCAATGGAGGAAAGGGTGATAAGATGGTTGGATCCAAAAGATCCAAAAGTGGCAGAAATGGCTAAAATTATAACGATTTCAAGTTCACAACCGGGAGATGAGAAGGTACTAAGGTGGCGTCAAATTTGTATCTCATGATTCAGTACCGTTCATTAATGAATTGAAGCATCATATCGCTCGTCGGTAGTCATCAGCTTACATTTAACACGAAGTGTGCTGTGGTTCTGTTTACTGACAGTACTCGAAGAAGCTGTCTTGCACAAGTTGTAATTTTAGTCCGAACTGGTTTTTAGTTTGCGGGAATTTGTAGGGTGAAAGCAGGGAGCAAAGTTTAGGACGGAGGAATATACTAAAAGCTTATAAAGCTGTTTTCCCGGTTCAGAAGAGTTAGATAGTGAGAAAACATCAAGTGTTTACTTTGGAGTTACCTAACCATGTTGTGATTGAGCTAATGAATTTAATTCTGGCTATTGAGCAACTCGATTCAACAGTTTTTTTTTTTTTTTTTTTTTTTTTTTTTACCTTAAAATGATTGGTAGATTTGTTAGAATGTGATTTCCACATCAGATTTGTGCAGCGAGATAATTTATTATGCGGTGGATGGAAAATTGTATCATAAAATTGTATCATGGAAAATTGTATCACAACATATTATCATAATCTCTAATAGATTTTACCATAGGTCCTATAACAGCCTCTATGAGCATTGTGAAGACATGTCAACATAGAATTTAATAGAGAATATAATTTGCTGGAGAATATTGTTTTGGAGAATATTTAATAGAGGCACTAATAGTAGACAACATCGTGGTCTATAGTAAAAGTTGTCTTTAGTGTTGTTAACACTTTATAAATAATAAAAATAAATTTAGAATAATGTAAACTTAGGCTTTTTCTTCTAATATTGCTAACAAGGCTCCCTCCCTCCCTCGAACGAATCGGCTAAGTTCTAGACGCTTCCAAATTGGAAACTGAAGATGATATTATCGTCCACTGTGAATCATCGGCACTCGGATAGTTAGATGCCGCGATTCCTGCCTTCTTCTGCAACTCGACAGCATGAAGAATCAGATCCCTCGCTCACTGGCCGCAGCAATCTAAATCGCATGGGGTGGAAGGAAATCGTGCTGGAGCTTTCACGGTTGATCACACTGTTGATGGTGTCATCCTTCCTTCCTCTCCGCAAGTGGGGCTAGATCGGTGATCCTGGTTGTGTTGGAAGCCTGGGAATTCTAGCGGTTCGGGACGTGCCGATGAGATGCACAGCCAGGCTGGGGGGAGCTCCGAATGATCTAACCATGCAGTAGTAACCAGACAGATTAGTTGCTGTCTGTTGAGGGTCGATGGTTTGAACCGTGGGATGCAGTTCACCCCGATGATGCGACGCGGATCCAAACGGCTGTGCTCGGCACGCGCTGGTTCACCGCAAACAACATGTAGTAGCCAGGTGGTGCAACTTGGGGACTGGGAGGGGCCGTCGCGGTGACCTGGTACACACTCGCCTGCGCGACTTGCACGGAGCCGGCCACGTTCAAGCTCACGAGGCGCTGGCCTTGGGAATACGAGTGGGTGTTGAAGGGAGCGCTCATCAGGTTCAGGTCGACGATGGTGGTCATCCCTGTGGGAGTGATCACCGTGACAGTAAATGGGGTGCCGTAGGAGATTTGCAAGGGGGAGACGCTGATTGTGGGTTTCAAGTCGTTGAGGGTAGGACTAAGATAAGGGGGAGAGAAGGCGTCGATTCGTAACTCGGTTGGATAATCTCCCGTGAAGGTGTAGAATTGGTGCGAGTTGCTTCCTGCTAACAAAACGCGGCCGTCCTGCAAGAGATTTCCGGAATGCGTCACTGGTTTAGTTGAGGAATACGAGGAAGGTCAGGAGAAGGAGAAGTACGTTGTTCAATTGATTTCGATACTCGTGGTGAGTAGTACTTACTTGCAGCAAATTGGCGGTACAATGGTACATGCGAGCGATCGCTGAGGGTGCCATGATTGTGAAGCGGCTGCCAGACATAGCGTAGGGGTTGTACCTCACTGGGTTCAAGACAGGGTCTATGGCATTTCCCCACCCTTGTGATCCTGCAAATAGGGGAGTTGAATGAAATGGCCTTCAGGACAAGCCCTAACATTGCTCAACGGAGATTCAAGCTTGGAAGTTCTCAGGCATGGCATGACGAATTACCTTTCGAAGCACCATTGATTATGAGAACATCCTTGTTGGGCAGAAGTATCATATCGCCCATACACCTTGCGAAAGGCATCCTCTCTTCCACCCATATGGGATTCGGATCGGTGACGGTCATCCTCTCACAAGTGATGGAGCAGGGCTTTTGCGTCCAAGGTTCCAGGAATGCGCCATACTGCGCACCTCCGCAAATCAAAACCTCCACAGTCGCAAATTGATTCGATGCCAGGAGGGGCAACATAACCGACGACCCAGCTGAGGGATAATTCCGAGGCTCCCCGGGGATTCTTGGAAATCTCTTCACCACTGTGTTAGTTATGTAGTTATACTCAATTGAGTCCCTGTTGGCGAAAATGTAAAGATTCCCGGTTGGCAGCAAGTGAACAAAGGGGTACAGATTGTCATTTTGTGCATCATTTGTGGTGTTCAGGAAGTCAAAATACAGTAGCCCGTTGGCGGCAGGAGGAATGTACTCAATGTTGTACGCTGACCTGCCCCCAATGATAATCTGGCGTCCGTCAGGGAGGAGCTGATTGGTAGCATACCATCTGGGTGCTTCCAAGACTACCTCCACAGATTCCACCCAGTCGCACGTCCCCGTTGCTGGACATGGCGCAAATGTCCTGAATTTTCAGGAGGGGTGTGTCAGGTAGGCTTGCAACGATTTCCAGCACGTAATGCGGGATCTTAAGTAGTGCGAAGTTTAGTTTCTTCCTATCCAATCCGCTTTTCTTTCTCGGAATAGAGTACGAATGGATAGTTAAAATGCTTTAGTTTCAGAGATGCGGTGAACGAAAGATTTCACGAGATGCTCATTTTTGAAGGTAAATTAGAGTTACAGATAGAGGATTTACCGGACTTTCCTAATACCCTCGAAGTCTCCACCCGTCTGCATGAGGGTGCCATCAGAAAGAAACTGTCCAGAAGAGCACCATGTGTCGGTCAAAATACTCAGAGGTCGAACGGTGTTCGTACCGGGATCGAACAACACGGAGTGCGCAGTGCAGTCGTGCTTGAGGACCAAGTCATCGCTGTCCCTGCAAGCCCCACCTGTGAACGCCGGTAACTTTGTTTGTTAGCGGAAGCCGGTTTTACAAGAAATTTTGATAAATTGGAAGCAAGCAGAACCATCGGGCTGGAAATGGCGACGAAATCAGTGTGGAGAAGTGCGAAGCAAGGATCACTTTACCTGGCAGGGCAATCTCAGTAGCTCCAGTGTTGGTCCTGTCTAGGAGAACCACGGTGCCGTATCTAGTGACGGCAGCGTGCATGGAGGCAATTCCCGAATTGTTTACAAGAATTTCCCATGTCCCTAAGCTCACAGCCTGTCCGTGGACTCCGACAACAGCTGCCAGCAGAAAGTGCAAAACTACTGTCACTTGCGTCCACAGCCATCGGTGCTTCAATATCCTCTTCGATAGCATGACGGTGGCTGACATGCTCGGTGTGTTCCTCGCTCGGAATTCTGCTCAACTAGTTTATAGACCACCCTACTAGCATGTCTGGAGCGTGTCAGAAGCACAATTATGTCGATCAAGGGAGTGAGTAGCCAATCAGTTCCGTTCTCGCAGCTACCACTGATTATCAGTACGCCTATCAAGCTTCTTTTTCAAGTGGAAACAAGGAACATCGATCACTGTGGTCAGGAAGAAAATAGGATTCCAGAAGTTTACACTGTAAATATCTAACAAGTAACGCGAAAGTAGATTAAAACCTGCAATTTTCAAGTCGAGAAATTGTAGGTTCTGCTTGAACACAGAAACTTCCGTGGGATAATCTGTAGTGCGCTCAAAGTCTCTGTACCCAATCTGCTGGAGGTGTGGCAAAACTTGCTACAAGAGCTCTTTCCATGTCGCGATTCAGTCTACACGGCGTGAAACTGACGCCCACTGTAGGTATCTAGAATTGAGTCTGGGTAAAACCGAGCACTTGGAATCCAGTCCCACCCAACCATGTCCAGCGCGCAAAGTCTAGGCCGAAGTCTGGAAGGAGAAGAAGTTTTATCGCCAAATCAGTGATTCGAGAAGATGCCTGTGACTCTCATACCTAGCTCTGAATCTTGCAACTGCCCAGACGACCAACTTCAGATACATGTGCCTATCAAACAACCGTCCAATTTCGAGGAGGGAGTCAACAATTCTTACTGCGGCTCACCGAAACCACGAAGATGCTTATCAACGATTTAAAGCCCTGCAGAGCGACTTAAAGTCGATGTTATTGCACCACAGCGACAGCAAGAACCTGGAATTAGATTAAACCCATAGCCATCTCACACACCCCTCGAATCCCTTTCCCATCCCGGAGCTAGCTAACTACCTAAGCTCATTGCGACTGCACATCCTCCCCTCGCGCTGCAGCTCAGAGTGCAATCTCAGGTCTCCCGACAAGAAATCGATCGGTTTGAGTTTCAATCTCGAAGCAGCAGCTCTAGCCATCTAGCACAGCAGAGAAGTGTCTGTTGCAGACTTGATGCGCAAAGTGAGGGAAAAGAACGGAGGAAGTAGACGGAACCGACGCTGGATTTGGGGGGCACAGTCCCTGGGGTCAACAATCATCTCTTCTTTTAACCTCTCACTATACATTTCAAGCCTCGAAGAAATCCCCTCTTTCCATTGTTACCCCCACCTCGAACTTTTAGCCCACGCCGGGATGCGAGTCAACAGTCGTTGCCGAGAATGCATTCATCCCTGCTCGCGGAAGGGATTCTAAACTGCGAAAGCAGCGAGTATATTCCCAATCGAACAATATTCTTGGAAGCACACCAGCACACAGATCACAAACTCCACCTCGACCTTGGTCACTTCACTGATTTTTGACCGTGTGCTATTCATGGTTACGGCGGGACCACAAACAACATCCGAGAGAATCGGTGCATCAACACTGGACTTACGGTGATGAGGTCTAACCAGTAGACCAACCATTGAGTGGATTCTGTTTTGTCTTGTGATCCTCAACTTGAATTTGCGGCGCAGTAGAAGTGTGATTATGAACATGAGCTGGGTTACTCCATTCCTAAAGTACGTATTGTGTACATTGAAAAAGCTAGTGATTCTAAAATCTAAATGTGAAATTTCAACCATGTCTGATGGACCTTACTATATGAATAAAGTTTCTTGTTTTAAGAGCAAATAAATAAGTATATCAAACTTGAAGACTCTCTGCAAATTTCAGTTTTTTCTTCTATTTCAAGCATTTGCTTCGCACCTAGCATGGCTGATGCTGTGTACACCTTTACCATTGTGGTCGTCGAATACACTTATTTTGCCTTTTTCATTAACCAAGCTCATCTTTGAACTTAATCTTCTCCATATTTAAAGCAGTTTGAGGCCCATTTTGTGTTACGTTTGTTAGACGTAAATATCTTATTCTATTATTGAGTTAGTAAGTTTAGTTCTCTTTGTGCATGTACTTCATTACCAATTTATTAACTGGTTGGTTAGTATAATTTGATTTGCTCATGCATATATATAATTGTTGTTATATCAATTCATTAGTTTTTTTCACATAATAAATTGTATAAAATTCATATTTTAATATCACGTAGGAAAAGGTTTTTTATTATAATTTTCAACTATTTTTTTTTCCAAAATTTACATAATGAATTATTTGTAAAAATAAGTTTTACATATATATAATAACTAACTGTATATAGAGTAACATGATTCAATTTCTTGTAAATTTCGTTTTAGTATGTATGTATAAATATTTGTATATTTTTTTATTGTATGTAAATATATAATTACATAACTTGTAGCAAGCATCAACATTGAGGGTTTCCTATTTTTATAATTATTATTATATTTTTTGTTCTATATTTTTTTTAAAGTACAAATGTGGCATGACTTTCTAATTTAAGAAATTAAAGAAACATCATGCATATTCATTATTATATATTTGTATATAAATATAAACTTATAAAAGATTAATCATAATTTTAAGAAACCGTAAGAAATATTTTAATTTGTTAAACGATAATTTTTGTAATCAAATCTATTCATATTATTATGAACAACTTATAAGAACACCTTAATATAGAAAACACTTCCATAAGAACTAATATGATATAGAGTAAAATTTTAAAATATTTTAGAATCCTCAAAATGTAAATCTACCATCATCTTACATGTTTTACACATATGTGATTTTTTTATAATTATTTTATCAATCAAGTTTTAGTATATTAAAAAAATTAATATCATATTAATTTTATTTTTTATTACTATGATTTTTGTGTATGGTAGTAGATTTAGCGTTAAGAAATCTAAGTATCAATAAGCCACTATATTTTTAATTTTAGTGTATTGAATTGTATCAAAAAGTACAATAAAACGAAATCTGAATAGAAAAATTAAATTGTATTACAGTATTTTATAAAAATACATGAATTTTTTTTAACAAACATTAAATGAACTATTCATATGAATAAATATTTCCAATTTAACAGTTAAGAACAAAAAGTAATTATGCTTAAATCATTGTTTATAATCTGGGTCTATACTGTGCATGCATGAGCTTTTCAGTTCAAGTTTATTAAATATTAGTTTGTTCATGAGGTCCATCAAACATAAAAAAAACACTTATTTCATTAAGCCAATTACTGTTATTAAATATTTTAAAAATTCTAAAAAATAAACACATAATATAATTGTATTAAAACCATTGAATTAGTTTCACCACATGCCAAAGCCACCACCTTGTGTTACTATCTACACCAACATCCGTAATTAGTGTGTATCACACTATTTGGCTCTCACAGCAATTGTTTCATTTCCACACTTTACCCTAACTAATAGTGTGATACACACTCATTACGGATAGTAGTGTAGCTTCTCCCATGCGAAAAAATTAATCTCATAATTGAAATACCTAAAGATTTTTTTCACCATTTGAAAAGATGGATGAATGAACGGGTGGATGGATGGATGGATGGGTGGTTTTAGGAATCATGGGTGGGAATTGGTTGAAAAGACCAGGACCTCCCGTCTTTCTGACCCACCATCTTTTACTTTTCTTCCTTTTTCGCTTTTTTCTTTTTCTTTTTCTTTCTTTCCCTTTGGGGGGTACAGACAATTATTGGAGCCCATCTTTATCCTTCTTTGACGTGTCCACTCTAGGCCTCAGTTCTATTGTTCCTCAGTTGCTGACTCAGCTTAGCCCTCTGCTACCCTCCCATGCCCAAGGGCATCGACTGCCCGAGAAAGAAAAAGTGAAAGTAAGCGTGCCTCTTTACTCTGACGGTTAAATAAAAGGGACAGAGGAATTTGAAATTTCGACCCCAGTAGAAGTGAACTGATCTGCCCCTTGACCCTGGGAAAAGGACAGGGTGATATTAGTAAAGAAGATAGTAAGAGTTTCTACTCCATAATTAACTAACCCATGTGTCTTTTACTTTTAATGCTCAAGGGGGGAAGCGGGGGGGGTAAATAGGGTAACTGATTCTGGACATTGTTTTTTGAATAAACTTGATTTAGTTTTGAATCGAAACCCTAGATTTTTACTGTTCGCCTGTTTGGCGTTTTTCATCCTTCTTCAGAGATGGAATTCGGTTAAAGGAAGTGGAGGAGGATCATCCAAGAGCCTCCCACGTGCATCCATCTATCCATCCATCCATCCAACCCACGAGTGGCTCAACTCCTACAACGATGTTTTGTTTTGCTTTCTGATTCTCTTGCAGTGATGGGGCTATGGGAACCGTGCCCAATATGTTCCCCTGCTAATATGACGATAATGGTTGTGGTGGGTGGGAGGTTCTAGAAGGCCTCGCCCTATGGGATAGATACCCTCCATTCTTGACCTAAACCTTGGCCTCTATTCTTGACCTACATTACACCCTCCCCATGTCTCATTCCACCACCCCTCTTTGTCTTGGACAAAGTTGGACTCACTTTGGGAACAGATGTGGGAACTGTGACTTGTTGGGTTCAGAAACCCTAAACTTGGTGTTGAAAAATTGTTGGACTAGATGAATGTGAGCATTGTCTACAATGTTACCATGTTTCCATTGGTTTGATATCCACAAGATGTCTACAAAAACACATGATGTGACCAGCAGTTTGGTGTTAGCATAGAGAATGAACTATTTGTACAAAATTATATGAAGCTTTAAAGAATTTGTATCATATTTGTTTGGTACATTCTTAAAATTGAGAGTCATAAGATATATCATAAGTATGATTATGAGTTAGTTGACCATATAATTTGAATTATTCAGCAATGTGGTTATGGTTCTACTGTAACTGTAATAAAATCATTTTAAACACATGAAGCAGTAGTTACACACTATGATTTTTAATTGCTAATTTTGAGTACCTTATATTATAAATCACTTTTTTCCATTAATTTAGAATAGACTAAATTATTTTAAAAGAGACATTTTTTTAGATTTAATCATTTCAAACTTTTCTTATTGTATTTGCCAGTTAAATGTACTAGATAATTGACAAATGTGAAATTAAACTATTAATATTACATACAATTCACATGTGACTTGTGTGTCTGGTTGGTGTAGTCGGTTATCACACCAGTCTCACACACTGGAGGTCCGCGGTTCGAACCCGCGATCATACAAGCGTCATTTATATTTTTTAATTGTATTTATAATTCTTTATATAACTTGGCATGAAACAGTCACTTTATTCTACTACAAGTCCATATTGTTGTTACTTCTATTTTTATTCTATTCTATTTGATTTCTCTTTGATTCTTTGATCTCTTAATATTTATCTCATTGTTCTTTGGTAATGGTTTTTCCTTGTACCAAAACATTTAAATAAGCCTTAAACATTTTATTCCTGGATATCTATTGCCAATATTTTTGGGCCATCTCACAATTGGTTGCACACAAATATTTGAAGCAACTCCTTGACATCCATTTTCTATTGACATGCATGGATGACAGGTATGCAAAGTAGAAAAAATCAATGCAAGATTGTTTATTTTCAGGGTTTGAGAAAACCAATGCAAATTAAACTATGTTTTCCCTATTTCCATTACCTTGTTGAATAGAATGTTCTTTCCTGCATTTTGCAGTTCTGCTTTACATATGTACTTGAGATTATTGAGATAGGCATCCCAAAACTCAATTAGAGTCTTGCAATAAGCTTTATATATATATATATATATATATATTTATTTCAAAGAAAGAGTATTCTTCTAATACAATTGTTGTTCAAAAAGGCTTCACAAACAAAAATATGTAGAAATCTGCTAGTTATCTTCCAATACATTATGATACTAAAAAAAAGAAGAAATACCAATTCTACGAAAAGCACAACTGCTAGTTAATTAGTATTATTGTATTCTAATGGTATCAAATAGAAATGAACAACTACAAAATAATAATTTTCCAGTTGATTGTGAAACTAAACAAATGGAAATAAACACAGTAAAGGAAGGGTTTCTGGGATTAATTCGAAACATTTACCATGAAAACAAATTCACCCATTGAGTTGTGAGCGACTAAGATGTTTGAGACAATCCAATCTTGTGTTCCACAGAACACTCAACTTGGAATAAATAAATACGATAAAATTTAAGTTTCTGAGCCCAACACAAAACATACAAGTAGAATGCTGATATTGGGTTTCATTTTGTCAGATCATTTTCCAAATATACAAATATCACATAATTTCAGATTATTGTAACAAAAAAGGAATAAATCAACATGGTATAACATTTATTATTATTATTTTTTGTAGAAATAACTGACGGTGGAATAATAATAATAATAATAATATGCAATAGATGTATACACTTACCAACAATTTGAAAAACATATGCATGCTATGTGGATATGGGGATGTCTATGGATAAATCACAAAATGTTTGTTGAATCCTACCTCATTTGATTGGTTATGGTTGTAATTCTTGTGTTGTCCTGCAATGATGTAACTTTTTATTTTTTATTATTTCTCTATGTGATTATGTTTCTATTCAAATTCTCACAATATAATTTTTAGATTTAACTACAATTTTTTCATTTATTAAAAATTACTTACATATTAGTATATTTACAGAATATAGTTTTATTTATTTATTTTTAATTGTGTAATTGATGCAAGACTAAATAATGTATCTTGCAAAATGAACAATTTTATAATATTAATACAATATTGATTAATTATAAGATAGATTTGACGACAGAATAAGGGAACGACTAGGTGAATACCCCCTTCTTAACAACATTAAAATCTCTACTTAAAAGTCCAATCATTGACATCCAAACATTATCCACAACATATTACTTACTTTTGTTTTTGTTTTTGTTTTTGTTTTTTTTGAAAAAGAAGAAGAAAAAGATATATATATATATATATATATATATATATTTACGACCTATCTCTCAAAATATTTGAACATACACCACTGCTTTTGTGGATAGTTGTCCCCACTTGGGTTGGTGAGGTAGCGTGAGTGCACCCTCCTAATTCCATCCACTTAAGTAAGTTCTCAGCTGACATGTTAAACCCACAAGTTGGAGAGCTATCAAACATCAACTCCCTAATTCTTAGCAAGCATCAAATTAAACAAACAAACAAACATCACACCAGTGAGCTAAATCAGTAGAAACAGACTCAAGGTACTGAATAAAGATGAAGAAGCAGAAGAAGAAGCAGAAGCAGAGCTATTTAAGTTTCGGCAGGTGGATTGTGAGGTTTGGCTTCGTGTGGATCTGATTTGAAGCAAGAAAATCCATCACGATGGAAGCTATTATGGTATAGAAACGAGACTTAACTGCTCATCAAGATGTTGGAACAAACTGCAAAAAGGAAGTAAATCAGGTTTCAGCACTTTAGCATATTCGAAGCCATTGCGTCGCATGTGCGAAAGGGGACCGAAGTCCGGAGCAAGTCAGCAAAAGGTGTGACGGTGCTGCAGAGTTGGTGTCAAAAGGGCTCTGATGGAGCTAAAGGTGACTAGCTCTCTACCTTCCATTTGGCTTTGTTTCAATTACTCAAAATGGTTTGCGGCTCGTGGGATTACACAAGTTTGTTACATATTATGAAGAATGCTGCATGAATAGGATACATGCAAATTTATATATATATATATATATATATATACACATATATGTGTGTGTGGGTGGGTGTGTGTACGTGTGTGTGTGTTTGTGTTCAAGTTCCAAGTTGAAACCATGTTGCTTTCAGTATTAGAATAACACAGCTATGGACCACTTTTTGCAAATCGATCAGATGAAACATTTTCCCAACCTTTGAAAAGAGCATCTCAGAGTAGTGGACAAACAATAAGTGTGCCCTTTGGTGCCCACTGTCTTGAGATCTTCATTCAAAAGAAATAAAAAGTGGGTTACCTGACACTTTGTCGAAGTGATGAAAATTTCAGCATCTGGCGAGTCCCTCACTCAATCTTTGATAATGAAGCACTCACACAGTCAAATCTGCATTGTTTGCATCGTCGCTGTTCCAGCTCAACTCGTCAAAACCTGCTTCATTTTTCAGCGTGGAATGCGCACAGAGTCATCTTCTTCATCGAAGTATGCATGGTCGTGCTTCTCTGTGACTCTTCCCTCACCGATCACTGGCACCAGCATAAGTTGACTGACGTGGGTACTAAGCCGAAAACATTCACTGACTTATCAGTGACTTGGTCAAATCAATAAGTTATGACAAGAGTGGAGTCACGGCCATGGAATAGCCGAACCCTACTCCGTCAACTGTGGCCAACTCTGTCAGTTGTCAAAAGAACAGTTCAGACGGAAATAGTCCGGCACTGCCAAAGCCTTTAATAGCACAGCATCTGTAGGTTCATTTTTTTTTTATTATTTCCATTCCCGTCACATCTCCGATGTTGATATAAATGTACTATTTTCCAACAGAAACGCATATTTTCGCTTGTCATATCATCAAGAGGCGGTTGCCAGAAACTATGCGGCAAAATTTGTGTCGCTCCGTTGTTGAATTCACCACTTCTGATATGGATCTGGGATCAATATAGACATGAATTAAGTTTCACTGACAATTGAATAAACTGCAATGCTCTTAAATACTCCCCCATTGAACTTCCGAGGGAGCTTGCGTTCCGTGCGATTGTTTAGAATTTGAAGCAGAATGTTGGATGTACTGAAGTGGAACTCAGAACTAGAAAGGTTAACTTGGCAGTGGTTTGGAGGTGACTGAAGCTCATGTAGTTTCGGTTAGAAATCATCGACAGGAATGCACTTGGCAACTGTACAAAAAGGATACAGTTCAGCCTTCTCTAGATTTTCTTCAGTACAAGTATTGGGAGGGAGGGGCATCGCCTGGCTTCACCTTTCACAGACATAACATTGAGGTGATCTTACCGCTCTGTGTCATTGTTTGCGTTCTGCGTTTGCTGGAACGCCATACCTTCGTGAAGGACTATCAACGTATTGTCGTATCTGATTTGTTTGTATACTGAGCTTTGGCAACCCATGATGTAATTTCAGTCGTCGGTGGGTCGCTATTTGCTCGACTTCATGAAAACACCCTTAAACTGTCATAGAACGAAGATGCGGAAGAGTCGAGGCTTTCATAGTTCACCTTTTCCTCATCAGACAGAAATCTTGCAATTTGAGGTGGCAATGATCGATAACATGATCACCTTACACCGTCGCCTACCCATTACAATTACCTGTCGGCTGCCAATACAGAGACACTAAGTTCAAACAAGTAAAAATATAGCTGTAGCAGTATACAAACGTGCAGTTCTTGTGAATCAGAAAAACATTATCACATTACAGTTCCATATCTGACAAGAATCAGGATCACTTCAAAATTGTAGACAAAATATGATGGTTGTTCTGCCGCAGTCGTTCATCCTCCATGCATTCGCTTACTGACACAGTCTTCACTGGCAAACCTCAAACTACAGCATCTCATGCATGTTCCAGTAGCGGGTCACAAACACTCAGTTCATCGATGCAACGACGAACAGCAGTGCACAGAGCTAAGAAGGCTCATGATGTGATTGCTGAAACACCCACCCAGCTGCTTCAGATTTCTTCAATCGCAGGCATCAAGCATTCACACTCCCCAAATGGATACATAAACCTCAGGTTCGTTTCTGAACATCGATTAATAACAAATTTCTTCAAAGAAACTGATGATAGATGAAGCTGTCGGTGAACTTTATTTTTCTTTTTGTCTTTTTTTTTTCCTTCACTCTCACTGGCTACTAAGATGAGGAATGGAGGAGGCTCGTTCATCTTGTTTGACAGGGTTTTGTTAGTCTACCTCGATGCTTATCTTGTTCATGAATTGGATTAGTTTAGATCATTAGGGTTGTGTCTCTTTGTTATGTCTTATCCAGTTCAGCACAAGTTTATGTGTTGTTGATCTCTCATGAATCTATCAATTTCTTTCTTGTGAATCAGTCTGTGTGTTTGTATGTGACCTTCATGATATCAAAGAATTGTTAGACCTTTCCATGAGTTTCTGGGGAGATTGAACCGAGTAGTTAATTTTCATGACAAGGAATTGCATTGTTCTTGAGGAAGCCAGGCTTTCAAGATCATCAAACTTTTATCAACAGAAGCGCATGATCACTTGCATTGCAAAGGATGAAACTATTTGAACAAAAGAAAATAA